GGCTGTCTTCAAGAAGGCACTGGACAGGCACCTAAAGTCAGTACCTGACCAGCCGGGCTGTGGTTTGTACATCAGTTTGCGTGCAGCCAACAGTAGCAGCCTGGTTGATCAGTCCCTGATCCACCATGAGGCCTAGTCTCAGATCGAGCCGAGGGGGCTTTGACCCTCGAAACCTTCTCCAGGTATACTCCAGGTAAACCTACTTACCTCTGCCACCACACTGTCTGGTTCCACAGCTTCATCAAGTGATGGATCTGTATTTCATCTTCCACTTGTGAAGCTGGTATACACCGGTACCAAGATTGCACATGTCTGATGCTGTTGCTTCAGCTGAGTGAACTTTTGTGCAGTACAGTTTTCTCCTCCAGCACATGTCTATCAAGTGATATTCCTTGGCCTTGGGCTTTGCTGTTGTATCCCTGTAGCCAGATTATTCTGGTGACATTTCGATGTCATATAGGGCACGTTGAGGTATTGAACTGCATGGGAGATGTGAAGATGGTTCAGGATGCCTTCTAAAAAACTGTTGAGAGCCTGTTGGTAATTTCCTTTAATTTTGAAAGGATGATGCTGAAAAGCTATGGTTTTTATGTTTACTGAGCTATTCATTTAATGTGGACTCTACTCCATGTAGGTCCACATCCAGGTTCATAGCTTCTTTGTGCTGCAGTGACTCTGCAATTATTAATCATACACAACCTTGCACAAATGTTTATGTTACCAGCTCGTCTCTGATGGCCAACCTCTTCCTTACATTGTAAAAAAGGCTTGAGACCAGGAATCTCCTGGGACATGCCAGTAGGTCAATTCCGTACTATGATCCTGTTCACTAACAATTAATTCTCAAGGTCTGTAACTGCTGCACATTCTTTCAAGACTTGGCATCATTTGTGCTCTGAAAATTATTTACCCAGTGTAAGTAAATGCTATGAATGCCTCCACTATTGACCATTTGTTCATGTGCTGATTTCTGGGCCTGAAATTTCAAAATTGCCCGTCTCCAGAACAGAAACAAAGTATGACCTTAGAACCCTAGCTTGAGATGTCGGTGGCATCTATGGTCCACCACTTCCTAACACCTGAATTCAGGTTGCTGGATGATATTTTGCTGCTATAACATACTGTATTGGGATTGCAAGACATTGTTCTCACAATTTTAAGGGATGTGATTCTTCTTGGTGATATACTGGTGAATTCTTCAGCTTTCTGGCACTGCACCATGTGTGGGATGAAGTTGGAAGAATACTTGGTTCTTATATTGGAATGAAGAAAGCCTTCACAGCTAATAGACTGTTTTGTACTCTACAAATTATCTGTTGTGAGCAGAGTATGTAATAGATTTAGCTCAAGTTCATTCACAAGCAAAATTATTGGAGCTCCAAGTGAAGCTTTTACTTGAACAGCTGTTATTTGTGTTGTTATATTATGTTTTGTTACTGACAGAGAGTGGCCACTTTCAAGTGTGAATATCATATATAACCCTTCAAGGGAGGGGCCTCATAATAATAATAATAATAATAATAATAATAATAATAATAATAATAATTTTATTTTAGCATGAATTACAGTTTTGATGTAGTATATGCTAATGAAGGGTTCTTGATTTGAGGAATTGGAGCTACCCTACCTTTCCTTGGATCAAATCTGACTGTCACCTTATTCCTAGTTGATATATAATCCTTAACAGGTTTATTGCTTTCCTCTTGAATGGACGGTAATAATATTATACTTAAACTTTGGAGTTTATATTAAACTAACTCTGCTTTCCTAATTTTGAAGTCTCTGCTAGGGTAAATAAATAATATAAATTATAATACATATTCTATAACTTTAATAACTATTATAACAATGAAACTAAACCTAAATACTGTACTTCTATTTGTATTACATAACTTTGTAAGAAATTTACCTTTCTACATTATGTGTGATGAGGAAAATGTGAACAGTCCCAAAGATTATCTATTACCTTTTAAAAATTTACCTAGCAGCCACTTTCTCTCTAGTGGTTCAGGCAGGATTATGTAGTTATGAGGATCTTCCTTCCATACCACTTTTGTCATACATCACAGAAGAGGGTCGAGGTCTTCAGGGACCTCCTGGTCTCCCAGGCCCTCCAGGTCTACAGGGAATCCAAGGCATCAAGGGGATCCAGGGCATCAAGGGTAGCTCTGGAGACATTGGCCCGCCAGGACAGCCGGGTCTGGATGGTCTTCCTGGACGTAAGGTCAGCCAACAATGTCATATGTTAATATATTGGTATTACAGAATGCCGATGTTATTTACAAAACTTTTGTCATTCTTTGTAACTCATAAATCCAATTAAACCATGTAATTATTTGTTGCTCAGGGAACAAAGGGAGAACCAGGAAGTCCAGGCGCCAAGGGAGAAGTGGGACCTCTCGGATCCCAAGGGCAAAAAGGTGACAGGGGTGATGCAGGTCCCCCCGGCCCAGTCAGCTTTCTGGTTCAACCTGATGGAACCAACATCACGGTAGTCAAGGTTGGCATGCTCATCACCTTTTGTCGCATCATCCTACTTGTCAAAAATGTTCCAGTTCTTGTTTCCACCTTTCCAGCTACATAAATGCTTTCCAGTTATTCTTCAACCTTGCAAGCAGTTGAATTTAATCATATTGAATGACTGTTGATGTGCTACCAAGTCTCATATTAGCAAGCTGACTGTATGCTACATGACCCTTTTGTTTACTGCTTGTTTTTCATATAATAATAATCTAAACTACTGTCACACATATTAGTAATTGCTTCCTTGTTATCACTAGTAATTTCCTTGAAAATACAGGATTAACTCTAGTGAGACTGAAAGTTACTGATATACTAGAAACCTCTGTAAAGTACCTGTGACTGGTTTCAAGGGTTTTTCTACTCATGCATCCCAACCTGAGGCCATGCTTCCTTATTGTTTGATCAACTGGGCTATTACTTCCAGTGGCCTGCAGTTTTAGAGTAGAAGAACAGTTCTAGCAAGACTGAATATTACTGACATACTATACCATCAGACAGTACATTAAATCCAACATTACATTTTTATTTTAAGCTCTCTGTTACAGTCAAAAGCCCCATAATACAATGCCACCAAATGTTGACTAAGGAAACAACTTGATGTGAGGAGCATGTCATTGCCATCAGCCTGCTTCTACTTTTCCTTTACTCTGTATATGTCAGACTAGAATCGCAACAATATAAACCTCAAACTTACAAGTCTTTGTTATACTGTAGGAACTCTGCAAGAATCATTTGATAAATGAGACACTTTTCCAACATTTGTGTATCTTTATTCTGGAAATGTTTTGCCACACATTGGCTTCTTGAGTCAAATGTAGAAAATGGTGCAATAAGAGAAGTTCGAGGTAATGAGTCCCTCAACCTTGAGTCAGTCCATTATTCTTGACAAAAGTGCAGCTTATTCATGGAGATGGGGCTTATATACTGATGAGAGATGAGGTGGAGCAGTGGTAAGTGGAGTCACTAGCAAACAAAGGCACTAGTGGAAGTAGGTCATGTCTATAAATTAGACAAGTGTTGAAGAAATCACTGCATCAAGAACCCAAGATGTTGCTGTGTTTGACAGGATATGGTGAAACATTTCCAGAGTAAAGATATGCAAATGTTGCAAAAGTGTCTCACTTATCAACGTGTCAGTTTTGTAAACCATTTATTCACAATAATTACTTGAATAAACTTCTCATGCTCGCTTTACCACTGTGTTTGTTGCGCTGATTCTGGGCCATTATGATGACAGTCACATAGCGATGATGCATGTTTATTTTGTACAGTAATACGATCTCGGAAGTATAAACCAAATATCTGTCAAAAAGGGAAAAACTACATTATGTTTTCCACTTGTCATTAACCCTTTCACTGTCCATCACATAGAACTACATTAATGATGCCAGGGTCCATCACATGAGTTCAGCTCACTCACATAAACTGTGAGCAGTAAATTTTTGCCTAGATATGAGAGAATGGGTTTGTCGGGTGAGTGTGCACAGTATAAAAAAAAATCCTGCCCCATGCAGTGCATGATGGGAAAAGCAACTGACCTCTTTGATTTACAACAGCGAATTTGAGGCATTTTTTAGGATGTCTTTTTTTGTATCATTTGATAGAATGGAAGATATACAGTGGACCCCCGGTTTGCGATGGCATCGGTATCCAATAAATCCGGTATTTGATACATTTTAACACAAAAATTTTGCTTCGGCTCCCGTTAAAAAACCCGCCATACGCGATTCGTCCGAGACGTGTCCACATGTGGCCTGAACTGCCCTGTGTGTGCCAGTGTTTACAAGCCAGCCAGTGTGCTCGCATCTAAGGATACATTCGGTACATTCCATATTATCACAGTGTTTTTGGTGCTTGTTTCTGCAAAATGAGTCACCATGTGCCCCAAGAAAGCTTCTAGTACCAACCCTTCGAGAAAAAGGGTGCTAATGACTATTGAAATGAAGAAAGAGATAATTGCAAAGTACGAAAGTGGAGTGCATGTGTCGGAGCTGGCCAAGTTGTATACAAAACCCCAATCAACCCTCGCTATTATAGTGACCAGGAAAACGGCAATCAAGGAAGCTGTTGTTGCAAAAAGTGCAACTGTGATTATGAAACAGCGACTGCAAGTGTTAGAAGATGTTGAGAGACTGTTATTGGTGTGGATAAATGAAAAACAGATAGCAGGAGATAGCATCTCTCAAGCGATCATTGTGAAAAGGCTAGGCAGTTGCATGACGATTTGGTAAAGAAACTGCCTGCAACTAGTGGTGATGCCAGTGAATTTAAGGCCAGCAAAGGTTGGGTTTGAAAAATTTAAGAATCGTAGTGGCATACATAGTGTGATTAGGCATGGTGAGGCTGCCAGCTCGGACCAAAAAGCAGCTGAAAAACAATAAGTTCGACACTCTCCCCTCCTCCCATCCCATCAATCATCACCAGATCTTCATTAAAGGTAAGTGTCATGTATTCTATTGTTAGTAGAGTACTACAAACTGTGCATGTCTTCTTCAGTTTGTGTGCATTAAACCTAATATTTCATGTAGTAAAATTTTTTTTTCTTCATACTTTTGGATGTCTTGCACGGATTAATTTGATTTCCATTATTTCTTATGGGGAAAATTGATTCGCTTTTCGATAATTTTGGTTTACGATGAGCTCTCAGGAACGGATTAATATCACAAACCGGGGGTCCACTGTACTGCTAAAATAGTTATAGGGCCAGAAGGCAGTTTGAAATCATCCTCAAAATCGTGGAAATATTAAATTTTTACCAACTTTCCTGAGGATGGGTAAGGCCCCTCTGTACACCCTCACTCTGTTTTATGGGTTTTACGAGGTCTTACTCAAGCATTGGGATGCTGTAAACCATGACCAATCATTCCTGGTCATACTTTATTATCCGAGAAATAGGGTAAATCTTTCATTTTTCGTGTGATAATTAATTCAATATGGAAGGCAAGTGTAACATAGGAGAGGCCTGGAGACATGATTGATGAATAGAAGAGATGTTCTTTTTGTGCCTGGAATAAGAATAAGAAGTTTATTTCAGCATGATACATGTTTGTACAAATAAAATAAAATAAAAATAAAATATTTATTTCTTTGCTAAGGTTACAGTGTGTGTTTACATATCATAGTATGATTGGAGCAAAGAAAGCCACTATCATGCCGAGGCATTTCGGGCAGACTTAACCTAATACAGTGGAACCTCTACTTACGAGTGCCCCAACTTGTGAGTTTTTCAAGATATGGGAAGTCATTTGGTAGATTTTTTTGCTTCCAGATGCAAGCGAAATTTCAAGATGCCAGCATGGATGCTGGAGAGGGGCTCTTGCTCTTGATCTAGGGAATTGGATCTCAGTTGTTTGTTGGACTATCTTATTGAAACTTGGGCAATGTATGATGGAAAGTTGCTTCTTAACGTACACCAAAATTGAAAGAAATCGAACCATAAATATGTAATGGAGTTCACTTCTCAGCTATTAGCCGCCCCTTAGTGGTATATTTTCATATGGTTTTTACGGTTGTATTTCGTTTTTTTTATCTCATTTGATAGAATGGAAGATATATTACAGAAATAGATATGATTTTGATTGCTTTCAAAATGAAAAGTACCTTGAAATTGAGCTCAAAGTAGCGGAAATGTTTGATTCTTTGGCGATGTTCAAGAGTAAACAAATGACATCTCCGCCCAATACGTGTCCACCTGGCCAGTCTCATATGCAGTCACGAATAGGTTGACATTATTTATATAATTACTACAATAATGCAGTAGTCTGCATAACAGTAAATCTTCTATTTTTGTGTGAATAAAAATTCCAAATGGTAAGCAAGAGTATTATTATAAGAATACATACATACTAATTAATAATAATAATGCTTTGGAGCTATGTAATGATGCTTGCATAAGTCATTTCTGAAGCATTCTGAAAGAGAGGAAGAAACAAATCTCCTTGGACAGTTTTTTTATTGAAACGCCCTGCAGATGAGTGTGTGACAAGCGTGGAGAAAAAAACAAAAATCAGTGAATAGTGAAGTAACATTTAAGCGGAGAGGTTGATATTGGAGTTTAATGTTCTGTGTATGTAGTAGGAACAATAATAAGTGTGTATATTATGTATATTAAGTAAGTTCATGTTTTTGAAGAGAGATGGGGTGTGTTGTCTGGCACTGGAGTTTGTGATCATCCTCACTGCTACTTTTTGTTGGGTTATTAAAGGTTTGAGGTGACTAGCCATGGTAGATCCCCATGCCCAAATACCATAGGTGAGGTAAGGGAATATTAGAGAGTGAAGGAGTATAACAATTTGATGTAGTCGCCAGGATCCTACCATGCAGGTCAGCTCGTATTAATAATCTTCCTAAACCTGCTAGTGTACTTGATGTATAGTCTAGTTATATCACTGAATACAGGAGGCTCTTCACATTTGTGAGGGTTAGGGGATCAAGAACCTCGCGAATCTTGAAAATTTGCGAATGTTTGGTGCGCAAATATGATGTAAGGAAATATAATAATACTGTACTGAAGTGTTCGCGAATGTTTTGATGCTCAAATATATTGTAGGGAAATATAATAATAGCATTTACTTAGCCTAACAATACTGCTTCCTTAACCTATTGAACTATGAACAATCATAAAGCACATGAAAACATCATAAAATATTGTAAAATATTGGGCGGCTGGGCATTCGTGAATGTTCGAAGCTCGTGAAAGTGAAAGGCTAGCTGTTAAAATTCCTTTTGAAATACGAAAAGGTGCACAGTCTTGAGGAAATAAGAAAAGTGCACGATCTTGAGGAAATACGAAAAGTGTACAGTTTTGTAGAAATACGATGAACAATATACAGTGGACCTTCAACCAACGGCATTAATCCATTCCAGAGAGCTTGCCATTAGTTGAATTTGCCGTTGGTTGAATTAATTTTCCCCATAAGAATTAATGGAGATAGAATTAATCCGTTCCTGACACCCCAAAGTCTGAAAAAAAAAATT